AAGGTGATGGGTTACCCGGACTGCGTGCTAGACCTGCATGGCTCGGACACTAGGAAGGGAAGGGGAATTCGCCACTTTGCGGGGGAAGGAGGAGGAAGAGAGAGGAGAAGTGCGGGGCGGGGGGGAGGCTCCCCATAGAAGAAAACAGAAAGGAGGAAGAAAGCGAGCGAGCGCAACCCCACCCTTCGAAAAGGTCGCCATCCTTAAGAAAGCAGACACGGGGTTCCCTGACCCCTGCGGGAAATGCCCCGGCGTGGAACGCGCGACCCGGGCGCTGCCTGCCCTGCCACTCGCGGCCCCCGCCCTGAGGAGCCGGTTGCGCGGGTAGGCGAGCAGGTGACTTTATTCACTGCTTCCCCAATCGGAGAGGTCCCGGGACTCGTTTTCCGCCTGGAGATTAAGATCATTGCTCGCGTAATGAACTTAATGCTTTAGGGTAGAGGTGAGTGTGTCTGCGAGTGGGCAGGGGTAGGAATTACCGACCCGATCGATGGGAGACTGGCTTAAAACTAAATCCCTTTTCTCCAGGGTTTCAGCGCCTAGGTTTCCCAGCGGTGGGCTGAGTGCGCCGGGCAGGTTAGAAGGCAGGGCGTGGAGGAGCGACCCCAGGGCTCGGCCCACCAGAACTGAAACCCTAAAATGCCCATCTCCCCACCGAGACCCCCGGGACACCCGTTTTTACGGCAAAGGCTCTTAAAAGCTCCAGTGTGGGCGAACTGATTGCTCAACATGTTGTTTGTTTTTCCTTTACAGCTCTTCCTTGGGAGAGAATGTGACTGACTCGTTGTCAGGCTGATTGGGCCAAAAAGAGATATTCTCCCCAACCCCTCCTCCCGCCCCTCCCCGCCATCAGCGACTCCCTCAAGGGGCGATTTCCCACACTCCCTTCTTCACCGCCCTGTCCTGGGCCTTGGGATTCCCAACCTCGTGTAGACTCTGCACCTGGCTACCTAAGTGTCACGGGATGCCCCACAGTCAAGTGGGTGAGGGTGGTCAGGGAGAGGGAAGTGAAACGGGGTGACATGCCGGGCCATACAAGGCGCCCCACAACCCAGTTCCACGCCACTCCACCCGGCGTCCAAGCATCGTCGGGTTTTTACTGTCTATACATCCGAGGGCCTGCTGGGATCCGAAAGGCTGGGGAAAGTCTGCAGAGGCTTTAAAGTGATCCCGAGGAGCTCCTACCTAAGGCGTTGAGTGCTGCCCACGGCTCCCCCACTGCGCCTGGCGGGTGGCGGCTCGGGTCCCAAGTGCCCCCGGGGCCCCAAGCTCTCGCAGTCCCGCTCCCAGAGTCGCGGCAGGACTGACCCAAGAGTCCACCAAGAAGCCTCTAGCCCACCGAGTCGAGCTGTTTGGAGAGAACGGGGCCCGGAGTCCCCCAGGAGGTGCCTCTCCACAACCTTCTGCGCTGACACGGGGTCGCCTCGTCTCCAGAGACGAAGTCTGCAGCCCCCTTAGACTTGACTTTTCAGTTGGGTTGGGGAGGGGATAGGAGGTTAGTGGAGGTGCCGGAACCGCCCCCTTTCTCCCCCCACCCCCGCTCCCGGGTGCTCTGGGCTCTACGCAGAGACCTATCCGCCCTGCACCTGCCGGGGGCTAGGACTCAGAGTTAGGACTCAGTGGCAGCCGCGTTCCGGCCCGGATCCCCTCAACTGCCGCCGCAGCCGGAAGGATCTCTCAGCGCGCGGAGGCCGGGCCAGCCCCAGCCCCAGGCCACAGGCATCTCCGTCCTGCCCGGCAGCAGACTCGGGGGGCGCTGCACTCGGCAATGAAGCCTGAGCGCAAAGTCTGCGCGCCGCGTGGGAGACGCGGGCGGGAGGGGGCGCGTGGCGCTGGTTTTTTTTCTTCTCAGAACCTTTCGACTTCACTACAAAGTTTCTTCGTAGGCGCCTGGGCCCCGGGGTCGGAGCCTCCCGCTGCCGCTCCTTCCTCTCCCTCCTCCCGGCCCCCTGGAGCCGAGCGGTGAGCCGAAGCCTCCGGCTGCCGAACTTCACCTCCCCCTGCGGGGACCCCGGCGCGCCTCCCGCCGCCCTCCTCACCGCGTCCCCGGGCTCCGCGGGGGTGCCTCTCCCCGGGGCGAAGCTCGCCGGCCGGGCGCTCTGGAGGGAGACACCCGCTGCCTCCCGAGGAACTCCTAATACCATCCATACAGCTTTAATGCGTTTATAATTCGATAAGTGATTTCAATTTGAAATTGTTAGTAACTAATTTTATGGGTAATTTTTCCACATCAAATATTTAAGCATCAGATTAAGGGAGCCAGTTCCGACACAGGATAATAAGGGGGTTTCCCCCCCACCCCCCGCGGCCCCCCGCCTCCCTCGGATTCCTACCGAGTCGTTTTTCCAAATCCCCAAAAGATGGCAGTCGAAGCCGACATTCTTCTTTTCCTGCGGCCCTGCGAAGGGAGGGGCAGAAAGAGGGAAGGAGCGAGAGAAAGGGGGAGTGAAGGGGAGAGAGGCACAGGATAAGGGAAGAGAAAAGAGAGGGAGAAGCTAGACGTTGCACGGACTTTTCAAAAGCCATCCTTGCACACATGTCTAATACAGGCAAGCAGCAGTGGTGAATTTCCTGGAAATGTCCTGGCAGAAAAGCAAGCCGAAAAACGTGCCTTGTGGGCCCAGAGCAGAGGATGTGAGAAACTCAGCACTTTGAGGCTAACCCCTCCATTCAGAGCAGAGGCAGGAGAGGGGAGCCCGGCTTTTTGGTATTTCTTTGTATTTAACATCATATGCATACTGCAGAACTCAGGCTGTTTCCTCCACCGGACTCTGCCAGTTACCTAATGGGGGGTGAGGAAAGGTGATGGGTGGGGGGCGGACTGCAGTGGGCGGAGGGGAGGCTGGGGCCAGCAGCGGATGAATTGCAGACCAGTTGCCAAAACTTTTTTTTTTTTTTTTCCCTGCTGCTGCTGCTGCTGCGGCTGCCTTTGCTGCTGCCTTCGCTTTGAATGTGGGTAACTAGGAAACAGCAAGCCGTCTGAGAAGACGGAATTTCCAACGTGTAAAATGTTCTTAACGGAACCATTGAGCGAGTGCAATAAGGCGTGAGGGGGAACTAATCTTCCCATTTAAATGTTTGTGGCAATTTTATCTAAATGAATTTTAATGCTAAACGAGGGTAATTCCCCATTTGTAGCGCGTTTACTTCTCTTTCCTGTGCTTCTAAAGCAGTCGAACATCATGCAATGAACAATAACAATAAAAATACTGTCAAGGCATATTATTCATTTCGAATGTGTTATAATTACAGCTGATTAAATATGATAGGAGAATTTTCTTAATTTTTTCGGAAGAATATTTAAATCATATTAAAAAGTAGTCTCATTCAACCCGGCGCGCCCCCTCCCCAAATAAAAATAAAAAGCAGGTACAATTGCGTGCCCTTGTTTAGAAGAGGGCGTTTTGTTTTTGCCTTTTAAGAAACATCAAAAACGCTCTCAGCACCTCTATTATTTCCCTCTTTCGGTTAAGTGTCCTCAATAACCTCCGAGCTGGCTCTGAAATTTACAAGAGGAAAAGCTAAAATAGCATTAAGGGGGAGGTGGGGGTGTCCAGGCAGGGGGAAAAAGGACCCGCCAGAGAGCAAGGCTCTCACAAAACAGGCACGCAGAGGGGGGAACGCAGGGAAAGACACAGTTTGTTTTATTTTTTTCTAATTCACTGAACACTAATGATCTTGAGTCTTCATAGCCTCCATATTCCCTAATTCTTCTTCACTGGGACCCCTCTCCTTCTCCCAGGGCCTGCCCCCACCGCCCTCCCTCCGTCCTCCCCTCCCCTTTCTTTCCCTCCCCCACCCGGCAAGAGCTTCCTCCAGAATAAAGACTGAAAATAACCAACTCACCCAGGCATGTACTGGAGAGGAGGGGCAAATGGCTGGTTAGTTTATAAAGTTTATTATTAATTTTGAAAGTAAATAAATGGTTGTTAACGGCTAGTAACCACCTATCAAGAGAGAATTATTCCACGAATATGGACTGTTTATGTAGACTAAGAACTGCCACTGGGTTGGAATGGGAAACTGAAACAATCCCCTAGACGGGGTGGGGGCGGGGTAGGGCGGAGGGCGCTGCGTGCGAGGCTGCAGAAGGTCGAGCCTCGCTCTCTTTCTCCGGATCCACGTGTTTAGGAACCAGGCCCCATAAACAAAAGGTGAGAGAGAGCACGGCCGCTCCAGCAGGTGAGTCAGTCAATCACACGCCACCTAGTAAACCCAACCCACAGCTGGTTTCTCTTTTCAAATAGAAAATAGAATTGTTCAGGGCGGCTTTATAGGGTGACATGGGCCTGAATGTCAGGCTTGAGTTTAAGGCCCCCTCCTTCGACCCATCCTTTGTTTACAACGCAATCACTACCAAAAGCCTGATTTTTTAAAAAACGAATTTGCCTTAATTAAAATATTTGTATATTTTCCTTAGCTTTGGGAAGCACTTTTTATAGCCGCAATTTTATTTCAATAAAATTATAAGCTATTCCAGCTTAAACATGTTATTTTGTACCATTTAGCTGGCTGCCATGCCGAAATTCTGTACAGCTGTTCTGGAAAATTGGTTAATAACCAGTTTGATCCAATGAGAACATAGCATATTTATAAAAATTAGATTTTTGAAGCCTGGTCTCTTCATTCATGTAGTTAATTTCCTAATAAACATATACTGCTCATCCTAGGTAACATCCTTAGTGAAAGACGTAACTCAGTCCTTTAGGTTTACCATCATGTACAAGAATAATTTCACTGATATTAGATGAGTAATTCTGTTGGCTGTAATCAGAGTCTACAGTTAGTTTAGTGCCCTTAGGCCTTAAATTTGCTGATATTAGGAGTTCATTAAGTCAGCTTAAAGAAATCAGTGACTATTATTAAATAATTTATTTTGTGGTTCAAATTTTCAAATGCATATATATCTTAGGGAGCTAAAATTAATTTTTATATTTACTGCATTCATCATGAAAAATTTGGGGGGCAGTAAACAAATTTTTCAAGCAGTGGAGTCAGCA